CCAAGCTCTGGCGTCTCTAGTCAGTCCCCATGCTGTTGTCACCTGGATCTCCCCTGCTCAGAAACTTGCAGTGGCCTCAGGCCCAGACTCCCTGGGCTTCAGTTTAAGACCAGTTCTCCCTGACTCCCCTCTTCCTACCTGTCTGCTCACTCACCCCCTCATCGCCAGCACACACCGAAGTCTTTTTTCTGACTCTGGGGCCTTACATATGTATATATATTTGCACTCCACAACTTGGTTTAGGTTCCAGGTGAACACAAATAAAAGACGGGCTAAAGCAGGAAGATACTGGTATGGGCAGAGAATTGCTTTGCTTTGTCATGGGACTGGCTGAGCGAGCCCTTGGAACTCTTCCACTCTCTCTGGTCATGCCGTTTCCCTGTGTTGGTTTTGACTTTAAGGATAATAAATATACCTGCCCCAACTAGTTTATAAGGTCATGGTTGGGACCAGCAGACGGCATAATGGTTTTGTCACTGGACTCCCACAGAATCGACCACAGTTCAAGTCCCAGATCTGGTGTTTAAAGCTCATGTTGGGGGGATCAGCAGATGGAGTAATGGTTATGTTGCTGGACTCTCACGTAGTTGATCGCGATTTGAGTCCTGGACCCAGCGGCTTGAATCTCATGCCAGGCCAGAGGAGAATGGAGGAGACAGAATTGTGGTGTGGCCATCCCCCTAGGCAATGATTTCTCACTTCCTGTCTCTCTGGTGAGCACACGTGCCCTATACTAAAAAAACTAAGGCTGGGCCCGTATATATGCATGACCAAAATCCCAAGAGGAGAATGAAGGAAAAGGGATTGTGGTGTGGCCATCTCCCTGGAAGGTGATTTCTCAGTTTCTGTCTCTCTGTCTCTCCAGCGAGCACACATGCCCTCTAGCAAAAATCTCTCTTTAAAAACAAATAGGCTGGGGGACCAGCAGTTAGCGTAATGGCTATGTCACTGGACTCCCATGTAGTCGACCTCGGTTTTCATCCTGGACCTGGTGGCTTAAAACTCACGCTGGGCGCATCTGTGTGCGTGCCCAAGATCCCAAAAGGAAAACAGAGGAGAAGGGATCGTGGCATGGCCATCCCCACTGGGAGGTGATTTCTCCCTTTCTGTCTCTCTGTCTCTCTCTGTCTGTCTGGGGAGCGCACGCACCCTATAGCAAAAACCTCTTAAAAAAAAAAATAGGCTAGGGCCCGCAGGTAGTGTGGTGGTTAAGGGTGCTGAACTCCCATATGGCCAACTGCAGTTCAAGTCCCAGACCTGGCAGCTTCATTTTTCACTTTCCCTCTCTCTCTCACTGTGTCCCTCTCTGATCAAATTAAACTAAAATAAATCAATAAACAAATGAAGTTAAATAAAATATTTTTTTACAAAAATGTTTAAGGGACCAGCAGTTGGCATAATGGCTACGTTGCTAGACTCCCATGTAGCCGACTACGGTTCAAGTCCTGGCCTGGTGGCTTAAACTCACACCAGGCCCATGTGCGTGGATGCCCAAGATCCTGAGAGTAGAGTAGAGGAGAAAGGATTGTGGTGTGTCGATCCCTCCTGAGGGGTGATTTCTCCCTTTCTGTCTCTCTGTCTCTGTCTTTCTGGCAAGCGCATGCGCCCTATAGCAAAAACCTTAAAAAAAAAAAAAAGTTTAAAGCAAAAAGGCCATAGTGAAGATCAAATGTGAAATGGAGTTAAGATTTTTTTTTAAGTATTTTTTTGCTTAGGAAATCATCTCCATAAGTTTTCTAATAAAAATTACTGTTAAGCATTTTATATTTTGTTACAAGTTTTGAGAGGCTGGCTAGCCATTACGAAAAGCAAGCAGTTCTGAATCTTTGCCAGTTTATGAAGAAAGAGTAACGGTCTTGGGATCAGGAAATCAGTGTCACTTCATGTGATCCTGTAACCTACCATGACCTGTTATCAGGTCCTCCCATGTAGACATGCATCATGTCAACCATGTTCACCCCGTGAACACATCTGCCTATACATATGCTCCCATACTCTGTAACCCACAGTCATGCATTCAGACAATCACTCCTTCACAGCCACAGCCACTCACCCACTTCAGACATACCTATTTCCCCAGGGAGAGGCTAACCCACATGAGAAGGTTCCAGGTTCACGTCCAGAGACCTCCCCAAGTACACCCAGCACATGTGTGCTGTGATCCGGGGCTGACTGAGGCTGAGGGAGGAGTGTTGTGTGAAGACCCTGTTGTGGGGGGGGGCTCTCTTTCTCTCTCTCTCTAGCTCTATGTCTAAGCTGCTCATGAAAGAAAGAAACTTAAGCACACAAAGACATCAGACTCTCCACAAACCCATGTATTCATTCTGATAGCACACTCAGGCACCCTGCTGGCTACTTGGTCATCATTTGGCAAGAAAAACTCACACATAGCCAGCCACAGTGGCACAGCAGTAACTCAACACTCCCTGATGCCAAAGTCATATGGGAAGTTCTCGAGGTTTTCCTCGGGCACCCCAGGAGTGCAGGAACTCACTTATGATCTGGCTGGCCGAGGCTAGGGGGAGGCTCGTGGAATGAAGACCCTACCAGAAGTGGTTCTCTCTCTCTACTTCTCTCTACTTCTTTTCTCATGGAAGAAAAAAAGAAAACTATTTTTTAAAACTTCACACATGCAGGGGACCAGCAGTTGGCGTAATGGCTATGTCGCTGGACTCTCATGTAGTCGACCACGGTTCGAGTCCCAGACCCGGCGGCTTAAACTCATGCCAGGCGTGTGTGTGTGCGTGCCCAAGATCCCGAGAGGAGAATGGAGGAGAAGGGATTGTGGCGTGACCATCCCCCCTGGGGGGTGATTTCTCGCTTTCTGTCTCTGACTCTGTCTGGTGAGTGCACGTGCCCTATAGCAAAAATCTCTCAAAAAAAAAAAAAAAAAAAAAAAAAAAATTTACACAT